TCTTCATGGAGAGTCCACAGAAGTAGCGGCTGCCAGCCCTGGGAGTGAGTGACATAGTCCAGCTGACTCCTGGCCTGTAAGTGAGATCTGCATTCAACCTGTACCCCAGAAAATAGCAGCATGATGGCTAGGCCTATTCCACCGTGTTTCTCTGGACCTGGTTCCATGACTGGTGGGACCTTGTGCCAACCTTTCCCAGTCTCTCTGTCATTGTGGCTCTTCATGCTGTGTCGTGTGGAGACAGAAGTATGCGCCAACGTGGTCTTGGCAGGTACCACCCATGGAGGAAATATATCTCCTGTGAGTCAGAAGTTCCCTGTCACCTCCTGGAAGGAGAGGAAAGGGCTTCCTCGAAAGTGGAAGCAAGGATAGCTACTGTCCATTGCCAAGCTTGTCTTGCTCCACAGGAACAAAGGACCCCACCCTACATCTGTCTTCTCCTTTCTTTGTTTCCTTTCTTCTTATCCTCCTCCTCCTCCTCCTTCTCCTCTCTCTCTCTCTCTCTCTCTCTCTCTCTCTCTCTCTCTCTCTCTCTCTCTCTCTGTATACACATATGCATGTAATTGCATTTGAGTGCAAAGGCTAAAGGCCAACCCCAGGTATGTCCCTCAGGAGCTGTCCACTTTGTCTCTGCGTCAGGGTTTCCAAGACAAGCTGGAAACTCACAATTGGGCTAGGTTGTCGGGCTCACCGGTGAGCATCACGGACCGGCCTGTTTCTGTCTCAGTGCTAGGATTTACAGGTGCACAGGCTCACACATGGTTGGGGATGAAGTCAGCCCTTCATCCTCGAAAGGGAAACACTTTACAGACAGTTCTTTCCCTGGCCCACTTCCCTTCTTTCTGGAAATAGGCTTTGTGTAGCCCAGCCTGGTCTCGATTCCATGGTCCTCCTGCCTCATCATCCCTAGAACTGAGGTTTCTTGCCCATCAGGTGCAGCGCCACCCTGGGCTGATGGATGGGGTAGAGTTTCTTATTCCTGTTTAAGTCTGCAAAGAGTGTACAGGAGACTGCTGCAGGGAACGTTTTGCTAGGAAGTAAAGCATAGCTGGTGTGCAGAATTAAGTTACTCTGTGGGGTGGTGCCCTAGGCACATAGGGGTATGTGTGTGTGTGTGTGTGTGTGTGTGTGTGTGTGAGAGAGAGAGAGAGAGAGAGAGAGAGAGAGAGAGAGAGAGGAAGTTGTCTCTTGGACCCCAGGTTTGATGGAGGGTGGAAGGTGGAGAGAGCTTGCTTTTGACCAAGGGTCTGAGCTTTAGACCATCAGACATTAATCAGGGTGGGCAGAGCCAGAGGGAACTGCCTGTACTCCTGGGTCCAAGGCACCCTTGGCTCGCCTCCCACCCCCCCAGGCAGGTGGAATGAGACTGCAGTCAAAGATAAGGTTCTACCTTGCCCCGAGATGTGTATGTCAGCAGAATTCTTGTCTTTTTTATTGCCTTGGAGACATAAGTGGCTGGGGTCAAAATTGCCTCTGCAGGATATGAAGCGGTGTAGCAGATGAAACCGCCTTGCCCAGCGCTGGGAGGCCAGCAGGAGAGAGCGGCTTCCAGACACAACGACACCCCTCCATTCCAGGCCCAGGTGGCCCAGGTGTGGAGCAACCTGGGAGGGATCACGTTACACTCTGGAGCCTGTGCTGGGTGCCCTGGCGGGTGGGGGTGGGGAACCGTGCTGGGGTTGGGGCTGGTATGGGTCAGGGCATGGCTACTCAGCAAGTCCCTGGACCAAGGCTGGCCTGGGTTGGGGGCTGGGGGACAAAGAGGAGCTGGCAGGGGACTGAGGGATTTGTGAGCATTCATGCTGGCTGGGGTCCCCCTTTCCTCTCAGGCCATGGCTGTTTGTTCCGGGCTGTCTTGCAACTCTGTTCAGGTCACCTTGGAAAAGTCATTTCATTTTAACTGCCAGAAACTTCTTCTTGTTGGGTTTTCTGTCTTAACCAGATGGCAACTAACATTTACCAAGGATATCCTCTGTACCCCAGGCACCTGGCAGGCCCCTTTCCATGTGGGCAACGTGTGGATCCTCAAGGAACCTTGGGACCATCCCAGGCTCCCATTTTATCGACAGGAAAACTAAGGCAGGAGCCAGCCAATTTTACTCTCACTGTGCACAGCTGGAAGAACTGAATGTGGGGCCCTGGGTTCCCTGGACCCAGGCTGTCACTTCCTCCCGACAAAGTTGTTCCTAAGCATCCTCAAAGCCTTCCCTCAGGCAACCTGGGTGCTCCAGGGAGTGAATCTGTCCTGTTTGTTTGCTCTGTCACTCAGGAAACAGCTGGGTGAGGTCTTGGGGACTTCTCTGAGAGAGGAAGAGCAGAAGAGTTCCCCCTCCCCCAGGGTTTGACTGAGAGATAATGGGGTGGTAGGAGTTCAGAGGGAATCTTATCTCTGGAGTCTTAGGAATGAGAAAAGGTGGCCTCTGGAGGGTGGGTACCTGGGAGAGGGGCCTGGGAAGAAAGGGGTGGCCTGGCCTCATGGTCCACCCCTCAGACATTGGCCTTTTAAGTTAGGTTTGGGTGATTACCATTCACCCAACAGGTACTTGGTGAAGAGATATCTGCTCCCCCCCCTTTGTGTTTGTGTGTGTATGAGTGTGTGTATGTGTGTGTGTGTGTTAGGAAGAAGCCCTGGGGAGAGCCCAGTAGGAAACACACTAGGAGGTAGGCCTTTTCTGGCAGAGTCAAGAGGAACCCACACACATGAGTGCTTTCCGTGTGCAAATGGGCATTACCCAGACCTGCTCCCCCCCTTTGATGTCCCCACCTTGCTCGATAGGGAGACGCTCCAAGAGATGGAAGGTGGATTTGAACTAAGACGCTTCTGTGAGCAGCATACCATAACCTGATGTCAGCCTAAGCTTTAGAAAAACGTGCCTGTAGAGGAGTTGGCAGAGGTCTCGGGCAGAACTGGGGCTGGCTTAGCTCTTGATACTACTCTACGGGCAAATGCTGGCCAGGTTCTTCTTGATACCTTTTCCAGGAAAGTCTTTCCTTCCAAAGCTGTCTGTCCCACCTGTCATTTCATCTGTGTGGTCCAGTCTCTCTGTGGGGACTGCAGTGACCCAGGGTGCTGTTTTATGGACAGAGAATACAGTGGTTCTCCTGTCATGCCTGTCACCCATGGGTCGCATGTCCCTCCTCTACCCAAGCCTAGCCAGCTGTCCCATCCCTGCCTTCTTGGGTGCCTCCTCCGCCTGGGCTCTGATGCTTCTCAGAGAGAAGAAAAGGGAAAGACTGCTACCCTTCTGTCTCAGATCTTATTGAGGGTCCTTGTTGTTTCCGGGGGCCTGAGACGCAGCTAGTCATGGAGGTCACCATGCTGGCCTACTCACTCTTATGTCTTCCTGCCTGACCCGTGTGTGGGACCTGTGCAGGCCACAGAAGGCCACACACAGCCTTCTGAAGTGAGGGCAGAGCCCCTTTGTTTATTCAATATCAAGAACTGTAACTTGGTCACCGGGGGTCATGTCTCCAGCTCAGAGCCTGTATGGGCCTCAGTTCACCAGCTACACCAGGTCTAGGGAGGAGCTTCTCAGGGCTGCACTGGCCAAGGACTCAGTACTGTTGGCACTCCTGGCCTGTGCTAAGACCTGCAGGTCTCTTTTGGGGCCATCGCTGTGGCCCCTGAGGCAGCCACATGGTCTAAAACTCCTACCTAGGAGCCCTGAGAGTCCTATGGTAATTATCTCTGTTCCAGGAAGCTTGAAAGACCAGCCTGTCCCATCTCACCCTAAGACTTCAAGAGGGACCCCCTACCCCAGGCCCTTTCCCAACCCCTACTCACTACTCTTTATGTCAGACTTCCCCTTTGACGCTCACCTTCAGCAGAGAAGGGAGGCCTCACTTACCACCCACACTCACTGCCATTCTGGCTAAAGGCTGCTTTGCTCCCATTTTTCAGATAAGGAAATGGAGGCTCCAAAGAGCAGCGGTCCACAGAGAGCCCCAGCATCTGTCTGGGACCTTTCCTTCTGTGAGGAGCTGGTGGCTAGTCCTTTGGGACAGGAAAATGCAGCCGGGAAGTCTCCTGAACTTGGGTACAATGTTCAGGAGACTTGGGGGGTCTCCTGAACCCCCACCCCTAGTCCTCAGGCCCTACCTGGGTCTAGGGGTGGGGGTGTTGGACAGTGAGGAAACAAAGGACTTGTGTCAGGATAAGGGGTGGGTGCCCCCTCCAAGTGAGGAGGGGGTGGGAGCACTCTCTGGTCCCAGATTTCACTTATGCACTCTGTAGAGCTGCAACTTCTGGGGTTTCCCCAGGTCTTGGGTTCAAAAATACTGGGGGACGGGGGTGGGGTGGGGTGCGGTGGGGTGAGGGGAATCCTAGAAGTACCTGGACCCCTGGAGGGATTCAGGGAACCTGAGGAGGAAGCGTGTGTGTGTGTGTGTGTGTGTGTGTGTGTGTGTGTGTGGAGAGTGAAGTGCAGAAAATAAGTAGGAGGAAATAACTTTATCTCCACATTATCTCTGCGGGTCCTGGAAGGTTCCCAGAGGAAGTGGCACCCGAGGGGGGAGGGGCAAGGAGAGACCGTTCCCTGAGGAGCAAAAGCCAGGGAGCAGAGCTGGCAGGCGGTGGGAGGGCGGGGGGTGGGGAGGGGGAGGGGGTTTGCATGACTGGAGCAATGGAATCTTCGGGAGGTTCGAAAGATGAGCCAGGTCCAAGAGTGGCCACCTCCGAGGAGCCTTCTCGGATTCCTGCGCTCGCTCCCGGATGCTTTCCTAGCCCAGCCCATAGTTACTACACTTTGACCACTTCCTAAGTGCGAGTCTCCAGAGAGCTGGGCAGCTCTATCTGTGCCCCTGCGGCGTCCGCCCCAGTGCCGGACACCCGGTGGGCACTCGGTAAATATTTGTAGAGCGCCCTGGGAGGAATGAATGAAGCCATTGGGCCAGGGTTGCGGAGGGCGGGGACAGGCGCAGGTGGGAGGCCGCGGGAGCGGGAGGGGCGGGGAAGTCGGTCCTCCCGCTCCTCCCCCCGCTCCCCGGCCCCAGCGCGCCCAACTCCGGGGCTCCCGAGGCGGCTGGCGGGCGATCTGGGGCGCGCAGGGCTGGAGAAGCGACCTGGGGCCCCTGTTTTGGGCGCCGGAGATCGGAAGAGGGTTTGTCGTTGGTGCCCGCGGGCCCGAGCGCGATCAGAGCGGGAGGAGGGAGCGAGGGTTCGCCCTGCGCCTAGCTGCCTCCCCGGCACTGGCTCTCCGGACTCGTAGGTCTGCAAGCTGCTGCTCCTCCCACCCCGGCCCGCCTCCTCGCTCTCTTGCTCGCTCTCTGAAGTTGCTGTGCTAGCCTTTACGTGCGTCCCGGCGAGTGCGGGCCGAGGGGCCCCGGGCCAGAACTGAGTAGAGGACAGGGGCGTCCCGGGCAGAGCGCAGCCGGCCGGGGAGTGGCCATGTGTGGCGAGGCCGCGGTGAAGCTCGTCTGCAGCAAGTGACCTCGGGTCGTGGACCGCTGCCCTGCCCCCTCCGCTGCCACCTGGGGCGGCGCGGGCCCGGTGCCCCGGATCGCGCGTAGAGCCGGCGCGATGCACGTGCGCTCGCTGCGCGCTGCGGCGCCACACAGCTTCGTGGTGCTCTGGGCGCCTCTGTTCTTGCTGCGCTCCGCCCTGGCCGACTTCAGCCTGGACAACGAAGTGCACTCCAGCTTCATCCACCGGCGCCTCCGCAGCCAGGAGCGGCGGGAGATGCAGCGGGAGATCCTGTCCATCTTGGGCTTGCCCCATCGCCCGCGCCCGCACCTCCAGGGAAAGCATAATTCGGCGCCCATGTTCATGTTGGACCTGTACAACGCCATGGCGGTGGAGGAGAGCGGGCCGGACGGACAGGGCTTCTCCTACCCCTACAAGGCCGTCTTCAGTACCCAGGGTCCCCCTTTAGCCAGCCTGCAGGACAGCCACTTCCTCACCGACGCCGACATGGTCATGAGCTTCGTCAACCTAGGTGAGTGGCGGTGGGAAGGGATATATCTCAGACCGGGGCCACTTTGGGACCAAGAGAGTGTCGCTGCTTACAACCACTTCCCATTTGCAAAGCATCAGTGCCCTCCAGAGACTCTCGCACCGGGGTCTTAGGAGACTTTAAGCTCTGTGCGTCTCGGGTAAGTCTTGCTGGCTAGGAGGGTTTATGGGGTCTACCGGGAGGGAAAGACCGGCCCTGAGTCTCTTTTCCTGCTCCGCCGCCGCCGCTTCATCTCACTTGGGGGCGGGAGGTCCCGGCCCGGCAGCGGCTTAGTTCAAAGCGCCCGGCTGGGTCATGTGAGCTGAACCGGCTTCAGCGGCCCGCGCTACCTGGATTTAAAGGGCCCTTGTGGGCAAAGCTGCCTTCCCGCCTTTCCTCCGCCCCTCTGAGCCCAGCTTGGCTCTGGCATCCGGCGCATCCCCTTTCCTTCCCCTCTCTGGCCAGCCCTACCTGTCCCTTTGCGGTGCGCCTGTTCCCAGCGCGCGCTCGGAGTGCCGCGGGGCTCCTCTCCTAGCCGCCAGTCGCCCACCTTTGGACTCGACTGGAGCCGGGGAAAGAACGTTGCCATTGCGAGTTTTCTATTTTAAATATTTAATGATAGGTCCCGGGCGGGCAGAATCCATTTTCAGCGTTTATCACGTGTGGCGCGCAAACCACGGGTTTTGGCGATTGGGTGGCTGGGGACCTCGGAACAGAGGCCGCCATGGAATGGCTGGGGAATCCGTTTCCCTACTGTAGTTCCAGCCAACCCAGTGCTGCGAGGCTGGGTTGCGGCTGCTCCGAGACAGCTCCCTTTGCATCTGTGCGCGCACACGTATCTAAATTGCTCAAACTAACCCCCAGCCGTGCTCTGTGGGGCTGATCATCAAATATTTGGCTTTGGTGATAACAAGTCCTGATAGTGCCGTTTCCTGAGTCGCTTTATTCTGCTTGTGGAAGTTGCTGAGAAAATCCCAGGTCAAGACACCAAACACACCGTGGGTGCCGTGTCAACTTGGAATAATGAAGCTTAAAGGCCCCCTCTCCCTCGCTGGGCACCTGGGGCTCCGAAAGGATCTCTGGGAAGACAGGGTCCGCGTTAATCCTCTCAGCTCCAGATAAAGGCCCTAGAGCTTCTGGGAGACCATTGTCTGTTTCCATTAAAGGTCAAAAATATCAAATAATGAATCAAGGGTCAGGGTGTAAAGGCGGGTGAGAGCGCTGCCAAAACAACATAGAGTAAATTCAAATTCTCCTCAGACACTTGTTAAGAAGAGGCCCTGCTTTGGAACAGCCTCCAAGCCCTGAAGGCAGGAAAGGCCAATTGCAGAGAGATTTTCCTGGGGATAGGGTTTAGGGTGCTGGGAGGTGAAGGCTATCTTTCACTGTGTCCATTTTTTTTTAAATATGTGGATTTATTACCAAAAACTAAAGTAGACTCCTCAATAGATGCTTAGCAAGCAGTATGTGGTCAACTTGGGTCTGTGACACCATCCTGCAGCCAGGCTTAACGAGGCCCTTTCTCTGGGTGAGGGTCAGGACTTATGGCCTCTCCTGCTCTCTCCTGTGATCTCCAGCAAGGCAGCAGATCCGAGCTGCCGATTCCGAGCTTGACTGGGTTCATCAGGCAGACAGATAATCTCTGACTTTGGTGCCAGCCTCCGTGTTTCAGGTCTGGCAGTGTGGCCCCAGCTGGCCTCCTGCATCCCAGAGAGCCAGGTGGCTTCCAGGGCGGCTCCCAGGGCCCTGCTGGGAACTTGGTGGGGGTGGTTGCTCTCCCCCCCGGCCTTGGGTACAAGCTGGGGCATGCTGGGGAGGCCACAGCTGGGTGGCTTCCTCTGGCTGCACACACACCTTTCAGTCCGTTCTTTCTTTCATGTTGAAAGGACAAAGCCTGGCTTGTCTGAGCCTCTTAATCAGTGGGGCTGGCTTCGGGCTTTTGTGGGACGGTCCTGACTTTCTCAGGCCTGGCTTTCTGGATCATCACTCCTAATTAGATAGCAGAGTGGCTTTTAACAGAACCTGTGGACTGGGTCTTGTTTTCTTTCTCTTTCTGTCCCTAAACTATAGGTAATTAGGGGAAGTCCCAGAGTGTAGCTGCTAAAAGCTTCCTGTAGATGCATCTTTACTCTCTGCTGGGCCATAGCACAGCCATGGACCTCCTGCTCCTGCTGGTGTGACTTGGGGAGGGCATCTGGGTTGGAGAAGGGTGTAGTGACTGGAAACTCATCCCCACACTGAGTCTGCTGAGAAAGGGTAGTGAGATCAGAAATAGAGTTATAGAATGTCAAGTTCACTCGTACCCTTCGCTCCCGAATGAGGAGACGTCCTGGTTCCTGTCAAACTGTTCCTTGTCACCCTTAGAGCATTTGATGTTGGTGGCAGAGACTGACTCCCCCGACAGCCTTCCACACACACCTCTGCCCGCCATTCCTCCGCAGGCCTGTCTGCTTGGGGTACCCCTGCCTCAACCCTGAAGGCTTTTGCAGATCAACTGCATTATCCTCCTGTCTGCCGGCAAACTGCTTTTTGTTCTCCTAAGTTGTTCTCCCTGGAATCTGAGCAGTTTGCCAGGCCTCATGGGATCTCCACTAGAGGAAAATTTACAACAAACCAGGTGCTGCGTGTGTGGACTTGACCGTCCCAGGTGACAAAGACCAGTCCCTGGGAAAGCCAGCTGGCAATTTGTGGGACAGCCATCCTCCCGGCTCTGGCCCCAGAGTTCAATGGTAAGATCTGTAAACTGGTTTGGATTACAAGCCCCCTACTCCTCTGGGTAGACTTCATTTTGGAATTCAAAACAGGCCACAGTCTCTCACAAACAGTCCCCAGGCAAAGTTGATCCTGCAGAGACTGAGTCTAACCATTAACCCCAGCTACTCTTTCTTTGGAGAAACCCAACAGCCCTGTTCAGAATCTTCTAGAAAGCCAACTGGCTCGGAGAGGGTGTGTGTGATTCTTGTTTATCTCTGGGCCAGGTTAGAAAGGAATGGAGTTTGTTTAATCTTCGAAGCTAAGTTAGAAAAAGAAGCCAGTTAGAACCCGTCATTATTGTAGCTAGCGCATAAAAGTGGCTTTTGTTAACTTGTTCTGGTAAGCAGAGGTGAGGCCTAGCCGTTTGGTTTTTCACTTTACCCCCATCTGGCCGCCCTTTTTTGGAGACAAGTGTTTGGCGTTAAGATCTCTCCTTTACCCCTCCGAACAGACCCTACCACTGGGGAGTGGTAGGGAAAGGTTCTGTTACAATTTAAACATGTCCTTTGGGGAGTGCGCCACAGAGCGAGGCTGCAGGCGCCTGCAGCTGTAAGCTGGCCCGCCTTAGAATTTGGAAGGGGCTCCTTCACATTCCAGCCCTTTCTGGTTAGCAGAGGAAGGTTAATAGAGATGTCACATGGTTTTCCCCTTCGCCTTCTCTCTCTCTCTCTCTCTCTCTCTCTCTCTCTCTCTCTCTCTCTCTCTCTCTCTCTCTCTCTCTCTCTCTCCCCCCCCCTCCCTCTCTCTGCCCCCCCCCTTCGCAGATCAACTTCACCATAGGGGTGCACCAACAGCTGTGTTTTCAGTAACCCTTTCAAAGTCACTGTTAAACTTCATTTTTCCTGGATCTATAAATCAGAGCTCCCCCTCCCCTTTTCCCAAGGATATTATGTGACCCAGATTTGAACTGTTTTGTGTCCTTTGTGTGTATTTCCCTTCTGCAATCAAGGCAGGCTAAGGCTGGCCCTGGATGGCAGCTCAGATGATGCTTTGGGGTTTTATTCCAGGGTAGTCATTTGGGTCTGAGTTTCCCTTGGAAGGTGGGAGGTGGTTCGGAGGATACTGGTTGATTGTTTTCCTGCATGGAGAAAGGAAAAGAGAGCCTCAGAGACCCAGCTCCAGAGAACTGGTTTCTCAGGGTGTGGGGAGGCTTACCTTAGCAAGGATGGTGGCAGCCAGCAAGCCTTTTAGATTAACACAGAGGGGTGGACAATCTCCCGATCACTGGCATGCCCTTGGTGTGAGCACATGTTGTATGCCTGCCGAACTGGGAGACAAGTGATGATTTCACCCCAGGCCGAGTCCCGAGGAGGTTGATTGATGACCCCGTCGCTTCCATATCTCGCCCACCCCACTTGCTAAGGTCATATTTGGCCCTCATCGAGCCTCACAGTGTCCTCCGGCTGCCTTCTCCACCCTTCCCGCCCTGCCCCTCCGTGTAGCTGTGGAGTGGAGAATGCTTCCCACCCAGCAGCCGTCTGGTGCTCCACTGCCATGGCTGGGGCCCATCGACATACAGGGGATGCGGCTGGCGGCTGCACAGCTTGCCTTCGTGCGCGCGCTCTGCCGTGTCTCTGGGGTCAGGGCTCAGGCACGGATGTATAGGATCTGTCTTGTTATTGTCAGAAGGAATGCACTCTGGGATTAGCGGGAGAGCAAGGTGGTGGGAGGGAGCCGCAGCTGTGTACACTTATTATAAAAGATTTAAGTCCCACTGGTAAAATCAATATATTGAGTTGCACAGCCCTCTGCTTTTAATTAGTTTAAATCAAACGCGCCTATGCTGTTTCGCCTCTCCTTGCCTCCGTGGGGTGAGGAAACACCAATATTTACATAGAAACTGATAACACTCAGCTTCACACACTCCAATGACCCAGGCTTGATGGATCCCAGATCGACGTGGGGTTGGGAGGGATGATGTCAGTGGGAAGAGGGACATCGATGACGCCTAGGACTTGGACCCTGATGTTGGGACGCAGAGGGTGTGTGTTTGGAGACAGTGTTGGTGACCTTGGACTTTTAACAAAGAAGCCTGCTTTCTGTAGAGGCAGTCAGGAAAGCTCAGATTCACCAATTTGCCCCCTAGAACATTCTTGCAAAACCATTCAGGGGCTCCGCCAGCATGTGGGGTTCTTTGTGCCGGGGGGCAGCTCAGGGCACATGTTTTATTTATTCCAGAACTCTCCTTCCTAGTCCCTGTAAGTGTTTATAGAGGCAGGATGGCTTGCACTGTAATCTCACTCACATGC